ACCCCAGGTGGCACCAAGCCCCATGGGCTCTGCAGCCAGGTCTCCTCCAGTGGGGGATCTCCATGCACTGGTGTCCCCGTGGAAGCTGGCGCGGAGGCAGAGCCAGCTGCTGTGGGCAGTGCCCTGGTGCCTGTGCCTGGCCCAGCAGGAGCAGGGGGGAATGGTGCCTTCCAGACCCAACTGGGAGCAAAGGGGACTAGTGCACACCAGCTGATAGGGCTGGCACAGCTCCTCTCACTAATGCAGAGTAAATCCCCAAAGGCTCTGGATGCCACTAAGCAACTAAAATTCTAGAGCTTGTCAGAGTCATCCCAATGATCCACATCTGTTGGTTCAGCAAATCGGGGCCTAGAAATGTTGTGAGAACAGATCTCTGCACAGAAGCCCATAATTCTGCTTTCAATCTTCTGGGGCAAGAACCAAGGTGAATAAAAATGGGAACTATTCACAGGGGGAGACATTTCTCTGTAATCACAGGAGTTTTGCATAGAGTGTCATTTTTGATGCTGAAACTGCAAAACATTTGCCTTACATTTGCCTTGGTTCTGGTTGTGTTTTTTACTGAAATACACATCAGATGTTTCCTCCTCTGTACTTCTTGCAAAAATAACAAGCTCTAAAGCTTGTCCAGCATGCTTCAGCAAACCAAGCAGTAACACTCACTGCACTGGACCATGACCATATGTACATGCGGGGCTGTCCTTTTATTTTCCATTCCCATGTTCAGACAGTGTCACAATATCTTTGATACAAATGATTTCATTGACTTAATAGTTGATTGTGCACCACAGAAGTTTGCAATAGCCTCAGAGGTCATGTTTAATGACGCTGTTTTGCGGAGCCCAGCCAGAGCCTTCCCCATGCACAGCTTTCCTTGTGCTTTCAGCTGTACCATAATCCTCTTCCTGCCCTAGATAGCCCACAGCCTGCTAAGGGGGAGAAACCTCAGGAGTGTCCACACAGCCCCACTGGGGACAGGGATCTTCCAGGCAGCTCTGTGGGTACTTTTGCATTGCTTTGTGCCACCAGAGCTGGTAGAGTTTTTACACATTTTTTCACCCTTTTTCCCTAACTCCTAGTGCCCAGATAACTCAAGCAAGATGTAATAGCTGCCACAGAAACAATCCTCATAACCTATCTTGATAGACAAGGAGGTGAACCTACTTTGTCCAGGGCCTATATATTCCAAATCCAATGTCTAATCTACTAAATCAGCTCCTTGGTTTGCCTACAGTTGAAGAAAAAAATAGGTGATTTAAGTGCTGATTTTTCATGTATTTCCTGCATTGAACTCTGTCTGGAGCTTGACAGTACTCATTGGGGACACATAGAAAGGAAATTACTATAAGGTGGAGATGCTTGCTTATAAGTGGTATAAAAATTACCTGGTTAAAACTGTGTTTAGGATTTCATGCAAAAGAGTCTTGTAGAGTCAATTAGACATGCACAAACTAATGAACTGCAAAAAAAGGCTTTCCCTCCATTAAATGCCTCTCCGTAATCATCAATATTCTTAAAAAGTGTAATGATTTCTTATCAGTGCTTGAATGAACCGTAAAACTACCTTTTGAAATATTGATATTTCCACAATTTTGAGCACAAGAATGTTTTCCCTTCTATATAGAAGCTGACGGGCCATTGACTTGCAGTATATTTTATCCCTGCTGGAGAACATACTGTATAATGCAAATAGGTGCTCACTTTGTAGCCTACATTTTTCCCTAACAGGTGTATGAGGCTCCTTTGTTTCACATGCTTTAGCTTTTGATTTAAGGCTTAATCAAGGCATTCTCTGCATGTGGTGTTTTGTATGAATAAGGGTGATAGCTATCTTCATCTTTGAACCTAAAAGCAGAAATATTTCACAAATGGTTCATGCTCACATTTGTGAGGATGCTTTATCAACATCAGATCTAAGGGATTATCTTCATCTGGGCAAATCATGGCACTTCAGTTAGTGTCAATGAGCTGCAGTGATTTTTGTAGTTGAGTTTCTGGCCCTGCAACACTTTCTGTCACAAAGGAAATAGCCACAGATGAGATACATGTGTTATACTGAACTGTCTTCTGCTACTTTGGATTATAAGCACATTTGATTCCAGAACTGATGTCTACAGTTAAGTGTCCAGTTAAAGAAAAGTCAGTGGGACATTATTTTCTTCAGAAAATGCACTTCCATCATCTCTGAAACTGCAGAATGCCCAGCTGACTTCTCCAACAACCCATATGAGGCAGAAAGAAATATAGAGGCAGAAATTCATTATTTGTCAGACAGATTGATAGCCATGATATATAGTATTTCAATTTCTGCTTTACAAAATGCTGTGGTGTGTTCTTAAGTTCGTTAGTTTGCTCGCCCCATTTTCTGTATTACTTCCTGCTGCTACCCTGCTGGTTATGTTGCTATGGAAATGAAACTGCTCCTCCCTTGGTTTCTCTTATAAAGTGAAAGTTGTTTCCTCCTTGGGGTCAGTCAATCACTCTTTTTCTCCTCCCAGGTTTC